TCTTTCATCTACTTTTAAGTTTGTAAAAACCTATTAAATACTTGCATAATTTCGAACGTTCATATTTCAGGAAACAATGAGCTAAGACTTACAAGTAAGTGTTATGTAAGATGTATAAATCTACGCCATATCCCTTACAAACCTTAACGAGAATTCGCTGAAATACAAGTTAGCCTGATATGTCATTAAGCAGACAAATGCTGGAGTTAATATTTGATATGCCGATTTTCGCTAATTTTAGACACATCCCAAAATAAGCCACCGATTTTGAACATTAATATCTCCGTGAATTTTTAAGTAAAATACAACTGTAATATTACAAAATCTAAGTTAGTCCTTCCTCTATTTAACGCAAGTCATTTCTATTTGATAGCTTTACTTGTTTAGAAGTTATTAACTTATTATAAATCAAACGGGAGTACTTTTTTTTGGGACACCCGGTATATCATTAATAAGTAATAGTATGGTTTCTCGTGCAATTTATTTAGACACTCATGAGTTTTTCAAAGACTTCAAATTGCACTCGTGCAATTTTATCGTATTTGAAAAACTCACTCGTGCATGTTTTTCCCAAATTGCACTCGAATCCATCATATTACACCTATATAGACTATACAGAGTGATGCTCAATTTTCTCTTTCTTCAGCCACGTCTTATGGCAAAGGTGTTTACTTTGCCAGAGATGCTAGTTATTCCTGCAATCTGACCTACTCACCCCCGGACTGGCAGGGGCTTCGCTACATGTATTACGCCAAAGTTTTGGTCGGAGATTACACACGGGGGAACTCTAGTATGATAGCGAGACCCAGTAAGGATACTGCTGATCCGGACGTAACTTATGACTCTGTGGTAGACAACATTTCACACCCAAATATTTATGTTCTGTTTCAAGACTATGAATATTACACTGAGTATCTTATCACTTTCCGATAACTCAAAGACATCATAATTACCTATTACTTCTATGTATTTAAAGAAATATGAAGATATAGGCTAATCTAGGATTGTTCCATTACAAATCTAATAGCTTGTAAACAGAAGTATTTTGCTAGTTCTTATAGGTGAGATTTACTTGTCTTGATGGTGTATAGAATTTCTATGTAAAACAATAAATGTTCTTCAACTGTTTCTGCCTGAAATTTACTTTATTGCGACGAGAAATGAACGGGCAGTCTCAAATCAAACACACGATTACACATTATTAGCAAATATGTGCGAGTGAGGAAAGAATTGGGGTCAGAATTGTATTTAAATCTAGTTTATTAATATGGAAATTGAGCCAAACTTTTTCAATAAAACTGAAAATCCACCACGCAAAACAAAATTTTGTGATGCTGACTCGCAGAATCTATGTGATAGCGGAGTATAGGCGGAGTCGCTCGCAGGCTACCAAACGAACAATCGGCGATATTTTTTTATAGGTCGCCGGAATCACTGAGCTCTACTATATATATCTGGAGATCGTGCTCCCATATCTCGTCAAACAAAAAAGTGTCCGCAAAAACATGGCGGATTTCGAGCTCCGCGTCCACTATTTTCGGGCGATTTACCACTGACCACATAATATTTTTGAAA